CAAATAACAAAAGATGAATGCCTACTCAATAAACAAGTACATTGTACATGGTAAATATAAACACATATATAAATCAACAATAACACAGTATACTAGATTCGTAAATTACAACTTATTTCGACTATATTCATTGAATTTCATTTTTAGAGAAGATAAGGCATTATCGACTGAGCAAGCTGCATATGAATAATCTTCTACCTTACAAACAAGAGTTAGTTAGCCGAAAGAGTCATGTGAAATGCTACAATATAAGGTGTTTAATACTAAAAGTGGGAAATCAAACAGTCACAATCAATCTAGAATGCATCAAACCACAGACAATGCATCCAATATGTCCTTTTGTACGGTATTACTCATATGGGTAAAGTATGCTATATTCATAGCTAACACTATGGCATGCAAGAAGCAAGGCGAACATGCAACATACCTCCTCATTCTGTGAGGTCAAAGGTTACAATCAGTTTTAGTATATTACACATACAGAGGAGAGTGACACATGAAATGAAAATTAAAAAAAAAATACAAAAGTGATTTGTTTTTTTTATTTTAATTAATCTAAACATAGGGGAATATTAGTCTGGCTGTATTAGTGGTGGGTGGAATTAAAAATTAGCACTCAGTTCTATATGTGGTTGGTTCATGTAACAGACTTTAGGGTTAGTCTCAATGCCATGGGACTTCCCCAAACTAAAAATATTAATTTAGATAATGTAATTGAAATTCAATCTACAAAAGTCATAAACCTGTTTGTGGTTCAAGATCAATGGTGTGACACTCCTACAATAACACTGATTGTCATGGTATCCAATTAACCAATTACTAACCTTACCAACCTACACAAGCCCCTGCCAACAACAAACAGCCCCATGACACTCCTTACTACCCGTATCAGCCTACAAATTGTTGCTGGTACCCACTAGCACCTCACAACCCCCCCCCCCCCCCATTCCTGTTGTTATTAACTATATCAACCCACATATCACAGATGCCCCAGACACCTAATAGAGCCTCATGACAACCCTCACTCCCCATATCAACCTATAGAAGCCCTGGTACCAACTAGCACCTCAAGACATCCCTCAATACCCATATTGGTATATAGATGGCCTAGGGCACCCACTAGCACTTCAAGAAATCCCTCAATACCCATATTGGTATATAGATGCCCAGAGCGCTCACACGCACCTTGTGACACCATTTACTACCCATATATCAGCCTACACCTGCCCCCGGTCCCAGCTAGCACCGCAGGACATCCCTCAATGCCTATATTGGTATACAGATGCTACGGGCACCCACTAGTCCCTCATGACATCCCTTACTACCCATATCAGCCTAAAGATGCCACATGACTTGTACTCTCATAGCTCCTGATACATCCTGGTACTTTCCAGTAGCTCACTGAAACCCCCCACTGCACCCTAGCTAGACTGTCAGTATACCTTAACAAGCCACAGCAGTCGTACTATAAGTTTTTGTGTAATTATGTGGTTGGTAAGCAAAGAAATAGTACTGGCTTTTATCTTTTATGGTTTGAGACTAACCCCTTAGCCTTGCAGAGTTATTAGAGGACAGGTCTAAATACTACTATATAATAACAATACACACTGCACGAATCACTGCCTTATGTGAGACAATTGCTATGTTCACACGACAGCATTTTATCGGAGCCCAACGTGTAAACGCGTTCGGCTCGAGCCAAGTTCGGCTCCACTAAACCCTCGGGGTTGAACTCCGATAGGGTTGAGTCCCGACATGGCGGAGACAACATCTTTCATAATTTCACGCAATTTCCCGCTTGAATAAGAGGTACGCGTCCTAGTGTATAGTAACGAATCATTGCGATAGATTGATAGCTCAATGAGAAACAAAAAAATTATGCGACAAAAACTTGAAAGAACGACTGAACGGAAACTTTTTAAAGACACTAAAGATAAAAATCGTAGAAGCGATCGCGGTACGGTGACGTGTTCCTGGTAGGTTTAGATTCTTCCATAGTCCCTCTATGAAAGATAGAGAGAATCTGTGATTCTTCCTAGTAGTTTAGATATCACTACAGTTGAATAGTTACAAAATGGTAATTTTGCATGACAATAACTTGAGCGAATAGGCTGTATTAAACGTATTTTAGCTGCCGTGTTTCCTGTTTATTCGAGATACTAGTACCAACATTTTAATACCAGTCATTGTCTTTTCTACCTCCATGGTCAGGCTCTTTTTTCTCCTAGCTCAACAGCATCATGCCATGTAAAGAAAAAACACAAGTACGACACTAAAATCGTTTTCAGTCACTAATTATTCAAGGGCACTGTTCCGCTCGGCTCTGATTGAGCTGAATCTAACTCTGGCAGATCTCGGCTCTCGTTCAGCTCTCGACCGTATGAACGCATTGTAGATAATCTCCTGTTAATCCGTGGGAGGAGCAGTAGTTCGGCTCCGATAGAATGCTGCCGTGTGAACAAAGTAACATTCAAAGAATATCACACTTCAAAGTAAAATGCTAACATAGAAAAGAAGCAGCAACAAAAGTGACTATTGAACAAACTATATATTAAGAAATAAGATATAAAAAAAAAAGATAAACTTACTTTTCTAAAATGAGCCAATGTGTCAGGACTTTTTTCACACATTTCCGTTATGAGAGACACTGCTGTCAATAACACACCTAACATTTAAAAGTAAAATGGGAATGATTACCGGGTACAATCAATAAAATCTTGTCAATTTGACAGTATGTATCAGGAAAAAACACTCACTCTCCACTTAGTATGATCAGTGTTAGTTGACAATCTGCTGTTATAACGGTGTCAATAAGTTGTTTTATTAACAGAAACACATATTTAACAAGTCATTGTCAATGACACGTCCCCGTTCCGTTCATATTTGAGTGACATATACATTCAAAGCAGATCATGACCGAAATGCACCTGCATATGTACAACACATTGTGCTAAATCTGAACAAAATCCATCCATGCATGACTGAGATCCGGTTCTGGAATTGTGAAAATATGTGATTTTGATGCATTTTCAGCCTTAAAATGGCCATCATTCCGCTATTGTTAAGCAGATCATGAAACAAATGCACATATCTATTTGTGACATGATGTACCATGTGTGTGTGAAGTTTGAACTTGATCAATCCAGACATGTCTTGGATACGGATCCAGAACTGAATTCTTTAACAAAATGGCCGCCAGTCGGCCATTTCGAATTTGATCCGAAAAAAAAA